TTTCCCTTGCGACCTGAATATCATATGTCGACACATCTTCATCCTCATCGAATTTTTTTTCTCATTAGAATTATGAAGATACGTTACAGTTGTATCTAGTGTTGGTTTTAATTGCACGTTTTACATGCCGATCATATGAGTTCAACTTGACATGATGGTGCTTTCTGAAAGGACATTGATAAATGTCTCCAAAAACTCTAGTTTTGATAGAATTTAAAATATTTTCCGAACTTAGACCTTTCAGCAACTTTGCAACAAGCTCGTCGTTCCGACTTGGTTCCACCTTTTTGACAAAGTAAGGTTACCTTCTTTTCCCTTGCGACCTGAATATCATATGTCGACACATCTTCATCCTCATCGAATTTTTTTTCTCATTAGAATTATGAAGATACGTTACAGTTGTATCTAGTGTTGGTTTTAATTGCACGTTTTACATGCCGATCATATGAGTTCAACTTGACATGATGGTGCTTTCTGAAAGGACATTGATAAATGTCTCCAAAAACTCTAGTTTTGATAGAATTTAAAATATTTTCCGAACCTAGACCTTTCAGCAACTTTGCAACAAGCTCGTCGTTCGGACTTGGTTCCACCTTTTTGACAAAGTAAGGTTACCTTATTTTTCCTTGCGACCTGAATGTCATATGTCGACACATCTTCATCCTCATCGAATTTTTTTTCTCATTAGAATTATGAAGATACGTTACAGTTGTATCTAGTGTTGGTTTTAATTGCACGTTTTACATGCCGATCATATGAGTTCAACTTGACATGATGGTCCTTTCTGAAAGGACATTGATAAATGTCTCCAAAAACTCTAGTTTTGATAGAATTTAAAATATTTTCCGAACCTAGACCTTTCAGCAACTTTGCGTAATTTTTACCCATAATATACACGTAGCTATCGGCAAAAATGAATTCGTCATCCTTGACTGGACTGAAACTGTATTATTCAGTTTACAATCAATTCGTCGTGAGCCGTAATATACACGTATCAAAAATTGTCATCACAATTGGCAATAAATTCATTATCTCCGACTGGACGTGAGAGCCGAAACACCAGCTCTGCTCTATTTTTTTGAGTCTGGTTCCAATTAGTAAAATTAATCCGAAGATCAATTTCAACTGAAATCTTGCTAATTCCTGATTCATCTTTAACTTGATTATGCACCCACACCAACTGTGTAGAATTTTCAGAATAAAATTTATTATTCAGTTTAGACTAGACAATCAATTAAGTTCTTTATACTAATTATAAGGGCTTCTTGCAAAATGCAGCACTAAAACTAATTTTATCAAATATTACTTGATTAAGATGTATTGGATACTCATTGACATCGTATTATTAATGAAATATTGATAAAAAAAGGCATATTTTTTAAACGTCATGCAATTGTCTGACACTTTGTTGTTAACGAAGAATCTAAATTAAAAAGCCCAAAAATATAGCTAGTTCCTTGTTTTATTCATCTTTCGAATAAAAAGTTATACTAGCTCAACTATTGAATGCTGGAAGAATTGCAGTTGATGTAATATCAAAGTGGGTGTGTTTGCCATCTATTTATACTTATTTATCTATGCCCTTTGCATACCAGGTTAACAGTTTTCTTAATAAATAAAACATTACGTTTAAGAATCAGCACAGATTTTGTAAGAATTATTCTACTTCTTTCTCAAATAGTTTCATTAATAACAATATTGACTCTTTGAAGCCACAAGAATATTAATATTTATTAATAAATTTAAAAATATGCGATATTTACGGACAATTACTAATAGATACGCTATTTAAATCAAATTACATTATACAAAGCATTTGCTAAAAATAATAACCTTGAGCTAATTATTTCGATATAACGAATAGTTGCGTCGCAAAGATCTAGCTAAACTCAAATAATTTTTCATTATTTTTTGTATAATATTAATAAATGGTAGTCTGTCTGAAGGCGCGACTACCATGGTGTGAGAGCCACCAAAAATCAATGATTTTCTTACCCTTACTTGTCTATCATTCTCATGACCACTATTTTTTATGTATCTTCCTTTCTTAACTTCTGCTTCCATGATGCCTCCTGATCCTACCGGCTTTCAGTTCCTTGTAGTTCGTCTTCTCGCGTAAATTGTCAATCATCTGCATTTTTCTTCTTGCTATTTCTTTCAGTCTTTCTATTGTATCTTCGACTTCTTCGTGTAGAAGGCAGACTCTTTTGCAGAACAGGTCCGACTATAACTAATCTATTATTCAAACTATATTGATTACATTATTATTTTTATCAAAATTGTGTGCTTACAATGATAAATCACTATGTTATGTTGTATCGCGATGCAGTTTGTTTTCACTTCTTAATTGGTGTACTCTACTTTTTTGTAAAAATTTTTTTACGTATTCATCGCATTTATTCTAAGCAAATATACATGGAATGCATGTACATAGTGTAAAAAAAAGTCGAACGTAGAACTTATTAAAGTAACAGAAGTCCGAATACCTACTTATTTAATAAGTCATTTATAATAAAAATAAAATGATATGTCTCATGAACATCAACTGCTTGATTGATAACTCTAATGAGTTTATTGAGCACTAAATAATAAGTCGCTCACAAGCTAACATGAATATGCGAATGAATCATCGCACAGAAGAATACGATATGTAACTCTGGCGGCAATCACCAGAAGACCCCACATATAAAACAATATGCATCTCGTGCGAACGAAAACCGTTCAACAACAATCATTTCAAAAAGATCAATATACTAAAACCGAAAAAGATCAGTGTACATGACGACCAGCGTCGTCGCCGGAGCGAGACAACTGCGGCCGCGGTGCCGACACATTGGACGCCGCGGTTTGCGGACACGCCTTGCGGAATGCGAGGACTGTGCGCTACCGTGCAGTTCCCACGCGCCGCTCTCGCTTCGTGGCCGTGGAACAAAGCGAAAACAGATCGGCGGCAGCGAAAGAGACAAACATGCACCTGCAGGCGTGACCAGATCATACCGCGCCTTAGGGCAGTCGCTCTACAAGTAAACTCCTCCTGGGGCGTGTTTGCTCTTACAATTAGAAAAACCATAAAAAGGAACAACAGTCCACAGGAGCCTTTTTTCATTGAGAAATATAGTTTTTCATTCATTACATAGTTCGATATCTGACAAAAAATCTGTTCTTAGGAAACTAACACTGAACATGTAAGATTAAATTTGTATCGATTGTTCAACTTATTGTATTTAAGTGTTATAAAAGATAAATGTTTTCCACAATTCGGTGAATGATATTACACATTAATCAAATTAACAAGATTAGCAAATAATTTTATACGGTGAATTAAATTTAAAATTTTTGACATGACAAGAAGTTCATAATTGTCAAATTTTATAATCCAATGGTTGATATTGATCATAAAAATTTGACTTTTCAAATGATTGTGTTTGATATATAATTAAATATTTATTAAACGAAACCACTAAAGTGCGGGTAGATTGCCTACCGAAGAAATCCGAACTTTTAAAGAGGGGATTCTACGTGTAGCCTTCTGTCTGAAAGACCACGCCCTTCGCGACCAATCAAAACCCGGGCGAGGGATGCGCGGGGTGATTTCTATACTGCTACCGAACACATCTCTGTCTTTATTTTACCTATATACTGCCAACAGACCGTTCGAGAGAGACGGTTATAAGAGTAATACACCGGGAGTTACCGGACCGCTCTGGTAGTTAGTAGTAGTAGCGTCGTACTAGGACATGTCGGAAGCTGAAAACGTTCGCCATATTGGCCTCCTCACAGACACCTCGGGCGGCTGCTCATACGTACGGTTCAGTAACGCATCGACACTCGACCGAGTCAGTGTGATACAGATAAAAATATTAACATATTCATCTGAAATCCTGACTTCTTAAACAAGTGTTCTTAAAAAAAATTTTGAAGTCTTACTTGAGTTAATTTTTAATACGCGATTCGCGCTGAGTGCTTCGTTATCAATAACGTGAAACCTACATGTGCTGTGTATAGTACGTAGAGATAAACAGGTTAGTCAATTAGTTTTCATTTTTATAGTTATGAATTTCTCCATGCGACGACGCGCAGCTAATTAGAGCGAACCAATCGACTACCGTTACGCAATCACCGGACGACAAATCAAAAGATCCGCTACCGTGTTACGCCACACCCCTCCTCAAGTGTGGCTCACGGTAGCGCAGCGTGCGTTCCGTTCACACTTATGCGAAGCAGCGGCCAAGCAAGAGGGACGGATGCTCTCTCGCGAGTGACTCGCCATCTCGCGTATCTGGTGTTACGCACGCGACTCTTTCTTTCTTTGGTTTAACTATAAAGAGATTATGTTGTCCTTAAACGCTGACATCTCTATATAAAATATTGTAAGCGAAGAGCGTGTAAACGATTATCATATTTTACGATATTAGCACGGCAAAAAATGTCATCATCGCCACTCGTATATATTCGACTAATAATTTTACAACTTTTATACACAAATAAGGTGAAATATAAAGTATAAAAATATTTAAATAAATTAACTGATATTAAATTAATAGTTGAAAATATTTATTAATAGAAGTAAAGTATTGTAAATCAAAAGAAATAAGAAATAATAAAGACGTTTTCGTATATAAAATATCTAACTGTTTAGATAAAATACATCTACTTGCCATGAATAATTATTGTGTAACGCACAATTTATCCGTCAATATTTTCAAATTCTTACAATGTCGAACTTTAAATAAATATAGGTTATTTTTACAAATTAACTCCTTTGCCATGATATAATTTGCGTCATGATTTATTTTTAATATTATTTTTTAAATATCACAAGTTAATTTTGTTGCTATTCAAATAACGTTTTTTTTTTACTTTTCAGATCTTCTGACGTATTTTTTTATCGTCGCGTCAGCAGAGCACCTGTATTGGGTTGTTATACCTGTGTGAACCTTTTTTTGGTCGTGTAAAAAATAAAATTGATTTTCAATGTAAAAAATCTTTTCTCAAACACAAAATAACGTGCCGTAAAAACAAACAGCGATCATATAATCTTGTTTAAAAAGCTAACAAAATAATTTTTTGTCAGCTCGCCAAATATAGCAAGTGCAGCGAAGTGTTTTACGAGGGACTCATTCTAAATATTTTTTTTACGCAAGACGTGAAAATAAAACATAAAATATATATCTTGTTAATGTATATTAAAACAAACTGAGACCGACGGAAGCAGAAGGTGCCGTGTGCAGCGGCGAGCGTGTATAGTAAAGACTCGTGCTGAAAAGCAAGGGCGGCAAAAGTAAAGTAAATCGAATATTATTTCAAAGAAGCCCTTTTACCCGCACGGCTAAAAAATGTTCGCGGTTATGCAAATCGACAACGATTCGCGCGCGCACGACTTCGGTCGCCGCAAGGTTCGGCCCAAGTGCGAGTTCGTGTGCCGCTACTGCCAGCGCCGCTTTACCAAGCCCTACAACCTGATGATACACGAGCGCACGCACAAGTCGCCTGAGCTCGCCTTCTCCTGCGAGGTCTGCGGCAAATCCTTCAAACGCCAGGATAACTACCGCCAGCACAGGTCAGTCCGCACTGCGTCTTAACCACTTGCTTTATATATATATATATACTCTATTAGATATATTCACGATGCAATTAAACGTGTTTCATTTAAGCAGGCTTGGTAAATTTGCTGCAGACTAAATGTGTATTGAATTATGTTTATTTCAAATTTGTTACATACTTTTGAAAATATATACTATTCCAAAGTTATCTATAATAAATTATTTAAAAAATAATAATTTAGTAAGCATAGTGTTGAACACGAGTATTATATATGATTAGGAACTTTTATTTTATAAATTTGTATAAGTATTGGTATAAGTATTGGTATAAGGAGCTAGGGACTGTTTGTAACAGTTATTTTTCTAAATTAATATATCTGAGATTCATTGATCGTATTTCTGCGAAATCAAGATGGATAGTTCCACAAATGTTGTTTATCATTTCACAGTTATTCATTTTCTAGAAAAAGTGTGGTGTTACAACTTACCCCGTGTTTATAACTAAGTTGTAACGTCTACTAAGTCAAGTAGTAACGACAAAAAACGACAATAATGCCACTAATAATTTTAATTGACATATCTCTAAGTAATTCTTTTTATCTGCGTTGAACTATAATTAATGCAAATAAAATAGAATGTCTTCTTTAATATAAATTTTTCAACGCTAAATGCAATTATTATCATAATAAAAATGAAAGATATTTGATTTACATTTCTTCTTCATCTTACAAACTATAAATTCCACCCGCTTGAATCTGCGCATATAATTCTTGTATGTTACAATTAGCCCCAATGTTTTGTTTTAACCAACCCCAAATGTGATTTTTTTACATTTATCAAGATAACTTTTTAAACAATTTAGCAATGACAAAAATTGTTACATATTATCAAAGATTGATAAATTTGGAATAAATCAGATATATAAAATTTGAAATTGATCGATAATAATAACGCAAATCGAAATTTTATGTTAGATCAATTTTATATTACATGTCAAAAATGACGAACCTGCACAGTTCTGTATATTGCGTCGGCCTGCGGATAGTAGCTATGACAACATTATCCAGGGCGGTTTACATGTCTAATCAACCCAAAAAATTATTTTAGTATCTTTTAATATTCTATTGAAAAACGCCTGTTACTAGTTGCCCCCGTTACATATAGTCCCTAGCTCCCCTATATATATATACTATACCAATTTATAAAATAAAAATTCTTAATTATATATTGTATATATCAATGATCAAAATGTTTTAGCAAATTAACTGCCTGCTTAAGTTCAAACGTTTTGGTTTTGGCATTCACACATACAAATAGGATACAACTGCACGGCACAAAATTGATATTTTAAAGAAAAAAAAACTGTGATACATATACTTGAATATTGAAATAATCATATAATGAATATATGCAACATCGTGCAATCATGTAAAAATTGTATGTACCTATGGCAAAACCAGATACAACGCTTACAGCACATATTTGCAATGCACATCAAGTATTTTTAGCGACGAAAATATTTGTAATAACTTTATTTTCATACCATAATTTGTTTGACTTGGATTTACTTGGAATTATAGTGGTTCACAATCTATCATAATTTATTAATATAGAAAATAAAATGTCATAAAAAATAAACCATGATCATGTAAATGAATCGAATTGAAATTTTTATAACTGTTCTTGTTCTATTTTTGAATAAAATGTTACTAGCATAAAATTAAGCTATGCAAAAAATATTTTTAGTGAAGCATTGCATATTTCATTTGAAATAAATAAAAATGATTAAAAGTTGCAAATCTTATAAATAGATTTGAATAACTATAAAAAACTTAACTAAGAACTTAACTAGAAAACTATAAAAACCGAGATCGTAGCATTTTCATCATTGTAATAGATTGTCCTATAATATAATATACCTATTCTCTCACAAAATCAGTAATAAATTTACACTGTAGTAGAAAAATTAGTTCTGACTGATGCCAATATTTTTACTTGGTTATATTTTATAATTTCGACTATAATGCAGATATTTCTTATATCTCAATATACATGATATATTTATATTAGGGCAGTTCTTAAAACTTTACTTGAGTAGGTAATGTACAATAAATTCATGAAGCTATTATATTTTCAAATTTCTCTGCTCCCAGGGGTTCAAATGCATCCAAATTGATAAAGAAAAATTCTCGGATAATTTTAGCTTTTTAGCTAGTCCACAACCGACCAAAGTTTCTTGGTTATCTGAATATATCAAATTTTTGTTGTAATTTTTTTTATTTATTATCATAATAACCAAATACAATGTTAATCTCAAAACTTTGATACACTTGTCGCTAAGTTATGAAATTCTAAAAAACAAATTTTACCCACGTTATTTTCATAAGAAATACGTTAGTTGGAGTGCGGACTAAAGTTAAATATTAAGAGCAAAAACTTTCAGAGGATTTTTGTTATCATCTCGGAGGCATTTCAGCTCCTGAGAAAAAAAAATCAAAACTATCCATATTAAGAACCACCCTATATAAAAACTATTTTATTGGCGTCATACATCTTCTGGTTGTGAAAATTTTCTACACCCAATAAGTATTAAAAATCAAGTACTTGCTGATGATATCAATTAATCTTTGTCGGAGAAATGAGTAAATTCAAAATATTGTTATCCTTCCCCAAGACAATAATAAAACTGTACGCTTTGACGTAAACTTGTTATATAGTTATTAAATACAAAGCATATTTACTAATTATGTCGTGTCTGAGTACAATTCAAAAGTCAAATTCAAGCATCTTCAAATAATAAAATGAATATGTGTCCCATTACATGAGGCGGCGTGTTTGTTCTTATAGTTAGCCGACCGTAACTATATCTTGTGTACATAAATTCTCAGTTTTCATGACGGCTTTAATAATTTAATTATTGCTCTGGCAAGATTAAGAGACCATAATTGAACTATTAAAGTATTTTCAACTGTTATATAATGCAATCATATAAAAGCAATAATCATCATTGTTTGAGACAATTCATATTATTATATTTACATGATACGCACATATATAATTTAATTATATAGAAATAAAACAGAAGTTACTTATCATTAGTACTATGTAATACTGTAAACGATTTTGTAATTCAATGCACGATGTCTAATAATCATCAATTTACCGTAATACATTCACGATTCTGTTTTTTTAAGGTGCTGTGAGATAATTACGTTTTTATTATGAGATTGTAATAAGATTTATAAATTATAAAATTTTTTGAAATTCCCAAAATGCGGCAAAAAAATTAATAAATATATTTTATCAATCACCTGTAAAGGCTAATTTATAAGCTGCCAAAATTTTTAGTAACAATTCATTGTAGGCCCATATAATTTTTTTTTTCTAAAATACTTTAATCCCTCAGCAGTACATTAATTAATTAAGTGTAACGTAAAAATCAAAGTAACGTCCATTTGTTCCCAATTAAAAATTTGTATTATATTGTATTGTCATCAGAAATCAAATAAAAAATAAAATAATACGATCTTAAAAATTATTAATTGACAAAGTTGTGAAAATAGAGCATTTGCAGATTAAATAATTTGATAAGTACATTAACTCTATAAAAGCCGATTAGCATTAATTAAATAAATAAATATCTATTATTTTGTAATATGAATCAATTTCAGCAGAAGGGAAACTAGATACGATTGTACCACTTTCTTTTCTGGTGGGTAATATGTTTGTTAATTTACAAGTTAGCAGGAGAAAAGTAAAAAGAAGTATTATAAATCGAACTTTTCTCTATGTGAAAATACTGAAACAATCAACAGTATTTATAATGATAATTTAATAACTTTAAATAGTAAAATACAGCAATTAAAATAAACGACAAATTATCACTGAATAAGTTTTACTATAAAACGCTAATTAACTGAAGTTCACATGTAGTAATTTATCTGTTCGAATTTATTTAGTTTAGTTCGAACGTAACTTTATTAAAAACAAAAAAAGGTAATATCAAAAAAATACTTTAACATTAAATGTAAATTTAAAAATAAACACTGCTAACTAGAATACATGCATTAATTTTAATAATGTAAAATTTGTAATGGTCCACTATTTTAATTAATAAATAATTATATTTTATCAAACAAATAAAAAATTTAATAATTGGATGGATGAATATAATAATACTGTTGTATAATTTTTTTTTAATTACTATATTTGTTACAACTGCTAAATAATTAACAGTAATGAACAATTATATAAATTTAATAAAAAGAATACAAAAAAAGGATAGAATTTTCAACAAAATGATAATAAATCAAATTTTAAATAATTAACAGAATTCTATATAACGTGATAACTTATTGCTTGATCAAATTAATTTGAACTGATCCCTAATTTTTCTTTAGTTCAAAAATGAAGCACAAGCTATTATATTTTTTCCTAATAATTTCTCTTTTTTCACGTTCAATATAATAGTGTATGAAACGTATTGTAATACTTTTATTAAAGGTTTAATAGTATTAACCAATTGGAACAATCGTCTAAATTAACAATATAATGTAATGTCATTTTAATTAATAATCTCTATTATCTGCCATTAAGTCAACACTTCAAAACCATCAAGTATGCAGTTATGTTTTTTATTCATGGATATATATCATAAGAAATATAAATATTAAAAACATATGAGCTTATTAAATTTATTGCTTCAATATCAATAAACAGACCTATCAAGCAACAATTTAAAAAGTCATAAAATCAAAGAAACCATTTCCATTATCGCTACCGGCGTACTACTCTATTCTATTTGCATAAGTACGAGGAAGACGATATTAAAAAAAGCCACCTAGAGTCGATGCTAAACAGTTTACAAGCCTTACAGGTGAAATAAACGCATGAATAAATGAACGCAAACACGTTTGTGTCATATTTATCATAATTATAGATAATTTAATCACAACTCGTATTAAAGACATCATCTCACATCTCGTATTAAGCATTTTATAACATTGCATGTTTCTTCGAATGGAAGAAGCTACTGCAGGTTTCGAAATAAATTATGTTTTGCAGTAATAATCATTACTGTCCCACATATAACTCATTGAAAGTAAAAGTGATTGATTAATTGCTCACAGAAATAACAATGTAGACAATTGGCGGTCTGAGAAAAAAACAAAGATAGGGCCAGAACAAAAGCCCCAAACGTATATATGGTTTAAAGGTCCGCGAGAAAAAAGGACTACTACCATTATTTTAAGAACAAGTAAAGAATTAAATTTTTAACGATACTATTTTAAAGTAGAGAGCACAAGATCTGTAACCATCTTTCACTTTAAATCGGGCGACATCGCTATCTGGAAGTAAAACCACTTTGTTAACTTATTAACAAGAATTTGTTGTTAGTTTTTTTTTGGGATTGAGCAGTGTTGTTTAGTTCACGATACGTAAATATAATTTTTAAGTATAGCTCATTAATTGATTTATAAGGAATATTATTATTTTTAATAAGATTCAATAGTTTTTTAGTAAATAATATAAAAGCAAAACATAGACATAGTAAAAAAGAAAAAAAGTAAAGATATTAATTAATAGTACACTCGCAAAGGTAACATTCGTAAATAAAAAATTGCAAATAAAAATAACGTAAGTTAAAAACAGCAATTTAAAAGATATATATTAAATTGATAGTTATTTAACAGGGATGAAATTAATTTTTCTAAAAGAAGTTACATACGACGGTTGTATACCAACAGAAGTTGTATTTTTTTTCTTATTTATAATTGTATTTAAAAAGAAACATTTGAAGTAAAACCGAA